AACATCTCTAAAGCATACCTGCACGGCGGCCCCACTCAATCCAAGTGTTTCAATTTCTGCGCTCAGATACTCCATCTCCTCCCCCAATGCACAAATGAACTCTGACATCACTGCATCTGGTGTACCGCATACCCGCATTGCACGAAACTTCTTGGTCAGCACCAGTTCCTTCGTGCGAGCGGCCTGCCATCATGAACCAACCAGGACCGGGTTAAGACAGGGTTTATATAACGCTGTAGAAGGATAACATCGCCTGCACCCACAATGCCCCCCTACAACCAGACCACGCACCTCACGTAAAGCAGAGACGTATTGTCGTCCTCCGCCCGCATCCGCAGCCACTTCTCTATAGATCTCGCGCTGCACATCTTCTTCCACAATTCATCGTGAAATGTCCTTCCAGTTGCTCCCCCTCACGGGTGTCTTCACGGTGCTTTTGTGCGTCCGTTCCCACATCTCCGTGTTGTAGTGGTGAGGCATCCCACGTGTCACAACGTTCTCTAGCAGATGCTTAATCATATGCACCTTCGGCAGTTCCCAGTGCTACTTCTGATTCTTGAACGCCCGTGGCAGCAAATCCACGAGTCTGTGTAACAATGCCGTGTCAAATGGTGGAAACCCTCACACATTTGTCACACAAATCGCCGCACCATAATACAACTGATATGTTGCACACAGAAACGCGCAAAACCCAACCCAAACCGAAACAGGTGCTTACTTGATAGCATGTTGTCGTGCAATAGCGAGTGTCGTCTGGGTGTGCGATTCAACGCCCAAGAATGCCTTGTAAGAAACCGCATACACGCGGAAAGCGCGGACCTGAAGCGCTCTCAGCTCTCCAGCCTCGTCCGTCTTAGTAGCAGTCTGATCTACGATTAGTATGGGCACGATCTGCATCATGCCACGTAGTTTGCGCCGGACCGGAAAAACGAGTTCCCTCCAGGTATGTGAAGGACGACGCTAGGCGTGTCTCGTTTTACCCCTTTCTTTCGCCTGCGATGTAGAGAACGTCATGCCCACCAAATCAAACAATGTTCAACGGTTCGCGGGTAAGCAGGTATCAACATGCCATAACCCCGAGACTCACAATCCAACCTCACCTCTCCAAGATGCGCATTTCAGCCTTGCCTAGCGTGGACAGGAATTCATCCATCATGTGGATGAACACCCCAGAGTCCAGAACGTGCAAGGTGTCGGCGAGGCATGCCATGTACACGTTTCCCCAATCGGTGTCCGCGAAGTTCCATCGTTGAAGGACGCACTGAGCACATGGCAACACACAATGCAACGGCTATAAAATACGATTGCCAACAACACGAACATTATACACGAGGTACACCCACCTCGATTGGATGTGTTGACCATGCACTCCTGATTTTCTTGGCGTCCTTCTTTTTCTCGCATGCCAAGATTCTACGAACAATCACTCTCTTCTTGTGTGGCGTCCTTGGATCAGTTGTGCCGACCAGGCGAGTAAGCTCACCCTCCTTCGCGTAACATGTGGTGCAAGGCCGATTAGTGCCCTGTTGAAGCGTCGCAGACGCTCTGCAAGATTCCGGGAAGTCGCCAGGTATTCCGAAGAGGCAAGGGATCGCTTTTATAGCATCACCCGATGCGTCGCTCACGTAGAAGAACCTCACCGGAGAACTGCAAATACCACCATCCAATGGACATGTACCACGCATTGTGAGGTCTGCATGTAGTATACAAAATTGCGAGTATGCACTGTGACGTATGGCATGCCGGGAATAAAAAAGGGTCATGCATATGGTGTAGCTCAAAATCTATGCATACCATGCAGACTCCCGCATTAGAGGCGCGAGTATAATCTTCATAGCCTCCTGGAAGACTCGCGTTTTCTCCGTGGATGAAGCCCATTCGGGCGGAAACGGCAAAAACCCCGCTAGCGTGTGTCCCGGTTCTAGCCACCGCAGCTCCTCAGGGATGTTAACGAGCGTAATCAGCATGGGCCATGCACTCCTCCTTCCATTCCCGGACGCCTGGGTGCTGTCGCTATACACGATGACGCCCAAAATCAGGGTGTTGTTGTCGTTCACCTCGCGCTGTATGTGAAAACAAATCGCCAATGCTTGTTATCAATACACACAAATTACAGCACATACTCTAAAACACATTCCGGTTACCCATAATAAAAAATGCATACCTGGGCTGCATGCATCCACTCCCCCGTTTCAGGTCCTTGGTAGATGCGCTGCTTACTGCGCTCGCATGTGATAGTCGCTGGTTTCCTGATAAAACCCTCTTTTGTGATGAATGTGCGCACTAGCTTCTTGACAATCTGAAACATAGGGAGTATACTTACATCAATAAGCGTATATTTGTGTTAAAATCTGTAGGGTTTGGAAGGTACTAATCATACGAGTATTTCTTAGCATCTCTGTATCACGATAATGCAGCAGCAGCTTCTGTTGTACTCCTTTGGGCCCAAACACCACAATCTCCTCAGTTTTCCATGGCACCATGTCCGGTGGGGCACGGGCCTTACCCCAACGCCTCACATCCACGTAGTTTCGCCATCGGCGAAGGGCCCTTAGGTTGAACCTCGGGTTTCTGAATATGTTGAGTAGACGATTAACTTCTCGTCGAGACAAATCGGCATCACGGAAAAAAAGATACATCTCCGTGAGAGTGTCAAACACTTCGCCATCGTTAGAAACCTCAGAGCAGGTGGACACGTCATCGTTTGCCTCTACATCCGTTGCCGGATCGCTCCCTCCATCAACTTGCGGCGGAGCGTCGCTCACAGGCGGGGAGTAACGCCGCGCCCTAGAACGTGGTGGACTGCTCTGCCTGCGCCCCCCATAACAATCCCTTGCGTGCAGGTATGCGTCCAATAAAAGCTCGTCTAAATTCCGCTTCAGCTTCTCTGCGCATATCTTTTTTTTTGACAGATGAGACTGCAAAGCGTTATCGTCCTTAAAAACAGTACGATAGCTACCGCATCTGTTGCCGGTCATGGTGAGAACCAAAACCCTAAGTGAGCTGTTGAGGGAAATGAATACCAGAGTCTGCTAAGGTATGCGTTTTACACCATCACAGCCCGTTTACCGCATACTGTGCCTTTCGAGAGAGGTGGGATCGCGTTCATGCGCCGTTGTATGCTTCGCTGAAGCATCCAGAACCTTCTAGAACATACCCTGTATTCGACATACGAGAAGACTAACCTGTGTTTGGTTTGTTTTGTTGTGCTGTTTTGTGTTTTTACATGCCCTTCGTTTTGTAACACGTTGTGTAACAATTTTGTTTGTCTATCCAGTTGCGCGCCAACCTTTCACGTCCACGAAAATGTTTCACCGAATCGGTTCACCAATGAATGGCGAGATTCGCTGGCCCAATTAGACGAGGTACGATAATCCTGAAAGCACGACACCTCGATCAAAAACATCAAACTGGAGAAATGACCAAATCGTGTTGCGCCACGCGGATTGATGGCAGCTTACCTCAACATGCCGCAGCTGCGGTAAACCAAGCAGTGTGACGTGACACTTGTCCGACAACCTCCATATGTCGTGGATGGTGTATCTCACAGCAGGGGTTCTATGGATTGTCGAATTTAGGGTTTTGTAGTAGTGTTGAGTCCAGGTGATAGTTGCCTCAAGGTGCGTCTGTAGCAGTCTTTGTCAATGATGCCAGTAGCTCCTTCAATCGCCAAGCTCGAAAGGCATCATGAAGGCGACGTCTCTGAAGTAGGCCCAGCCGTTATGGCTCTCGCAAAGCAGATGGCTAAAAAAAACGGTAGAGGCGCGGGCAGACAGACGAGGACGAGCTCGGCGGGCGATGTGCGTGAAACCCGTAGCAGTCGCGCTGCGAATAATCTGGTAGAGAGTCTTAAAACATTCGAAACCCCTATTCGTATGAAGGAGGAGTTGCCGGAGCCTGCGGATGTGATTTCTCGGATCTGTCAGAGCAAAAAGCCCTTAGATTTCCCGGATTTAGAGCTGTACAACAAACGACGGCTCAGGTGCGTTATTAAAAAGCAGGATGTGGTTACCATCGCCGACGGGAAATGGGTGTCTGATGCAGTCATCGACTTCCACAACACGTGAGTTGACGACCTCTCATGTCTATCAGAATCTATCATCGTGTGTGTACTTTGGATTGATTAGTTTTCTTACTGCCCTTTGCTGTTCTGCCATTTGGCGCAGATTGCTAAGTATCCGACACCCTACCCTGCCGGATGGGAAGACATGGGCAGCGCTGGATGCTAAGGCGTTCACGTAAACTAGGAGGTGGGAGAAGGCCCTGGCTTCCGGTGAAGGGTTACCCCTATTGGAGCATGACTACCTAGCGATTCCAGTTTATCTGGAGTAAGTGAGCACATGTAGTGTGTGCACACACGCTTAGTTGCAAACCCCACCTCCAACTATGGTAGTTTGTGCTTCTAACGTTGCCCTTTTGTATAAACGTTCCCGTGTTTCTTGCAGCAATCACTACTCATTGGTAATCGTGTGCGAGCCCTCTAAGATCTTCAAACCTTCGACGTCAGATGGCGAAGACAGCCTGCAGACGGTGCTGTACGACATCGCGCTCTCTCAAACTGACGCGGCGGCCATTTTCAGCGGGTGTAAACTGTACGTGGCCCCGTTTTCATTCTCCGCATGCGTTAATCACAACATTCTCATATTCGCGGTTTTATTTTACACAGGGTGCTCTCCGTTCTGGCCCAAGAGACCCATCCGCATGCGGATTTGACTCATGTGGACAGTGTGCTCACGGAAGCCAGGTGCATCGTGCTCGGGGTGAGTTCTGACATGCATTTCGAAAAAACTGGTGAACTGCAACATTTGAATTAGTGATGCAACTCGTTGTTTCTTGCCTTGTGTCTTGAGCAGGAGGAACACAGCCCTCAGCAGCCAAACTCACACGACAGCGGGATTTTCGTGTGCCACTACCTGAAGAAGCTAGTGGAGACGAGCTTCAAGACCGTGTGCACAGGGCTCTGGTTTGAAGGTGTTAGTTCGCTGAAGTATAGGCGCGAAATGCGCGCCGACATCTGTGAGCTCGCCGCCGGAACCCTTCTGCCTAGGTTGGCAGCAGACAACATCGACATCCCTTCGCAGGAGCCCCCCGCCTTGACGAAAGACCGTGCTGCTCCGCATCCTCAGCACGGTGCCTGTCACGCGAGGTTGGAGCAGCTACAGGCAGAACAGCTTTCGGGGAAGCGCGAGATGGCAATTCTTGAACGCAGCGTTGCGTTCCTGTCGCATGTGATGGGCTACACACCAGAGCAGGTGCGAGCTGCAGTGGTGCAACTCCTGCAAGACGGCGGCGGTGACGGAGTTTGCATCCCAGAAAATAGTCGCACAAAACACGCGCCCCCCACCCCCCCAGCGCCCTTCTGGGTTTGCTAAGCCCGGGCTGGAGAGCCCTGAGGACGCCGTTAAGTGTATGGATACGCGGGTGTCGCTTGCTGCAAGGTTCATGGGGGAAGGAGCGCAGTTTCCAGCGATTGCGGGAACACTCCCGCAACCCGGTACTATACCGCACTGGGTGATTTCCAGACAGCAGCATTTGGCCGTTCAAGGCATCCCCAGTGTGCAGAAGGGCATGGAGGCCGGACAGCCAAGAAACTTGGCAGCTGCGCACCACGAGAGCCCCAGAGAGGGAGGCGATGACGAGGACGTTGACTGGTCGATTTATACTGGGTTATCCATCGAGAAGTCAACTGGGAAGTGGGCGGCTAAGATGTTGACGTGGGAAGGGGAGAAACGGCGGCAGCATCGGCTCGGAGCGTACACAACCCCCAGGGAGGCCGCCCAGGTGTTTGCCGCTGCTGCTTTTGTGCTGCGGCCCGGTGTGGAGATGGAGAAAACCATCCCCTTGACAGATGCACAAAAGGCGTTGTTGGAGGGGTGCGACAAGGATGCGGTGGTGAAGCTCGTGGGGGCGCGCATGTGGTGGCGCTGGAGGAAGTGGGCGACGGTGGTTTAGGAACTGAATGCCAAGAAGAAACGTGTGAGGAAGAGCCCTTCATCTAACACACGGGGAAAGAAGAGGCGAACCAACGTCAAGGAGGCGGGTGGAGGGGTTATTGAAGCGGTGGGTAGTGATGGTGGTGGAACTGTACAAACGGAGCTGGTCCGTAATGCTAGGCCCGACCTCATGGAGAACGAAGCGCAGTCTGTGGGTGCGAGCGGCAACGAAGATGAGGATGTGGGTGGTGAGGGCGAAGAGGGAGATGAGGGCTCCGAGGGTGATGCAGAATACATGTGCGAGGAGGATGGTGACGATGATGGTACGGAGTAGGAATGGTGAGGGCTAGGCACCGGATATGTGTGTTTTCGTGTGATGTGGAGATTGTTACTAATGTAGAGCAAATGGTTGCAGTGTAAATGTGATTTGTTCGGATATTGTTTTGTATGCGTAAGCCACGTGATGTAGATTTCTAGGGAACCAGAGGCTGTGTGTGTGCTTTGTGTGAGATAAGTAACAATATGTTATAGTGTTGACGTTGGCCCGACTGATGTTTCCATGCGGTATGCGGTTTTGCTAAACCCACCCGAGTTTCCTTTTCATGTGCCATACTGGCCCGATGTGATATGGTTTTGGCGGTTCTCATTGATGCTGATGTATCATTGTACGATTGGACGTTTGGATTGCGGTAATTGCCCATTTTGACTGGTTACCGAATACCCTTGTTGGTTTGTGCATACCTGAAGGTGAAGAATTCTCATACGTGGTTGTTGAAGAAGACGTCATAGCAGGAACACTACAATCACTCTCTCTCATTACCTTCTCCAAGATGGAAAACTCCATCGCCTCCCAGAACACATAGCCTGCTGGGAGATCCAGGAGGGCGACGCAGGCGCCAGCGTATTTGCGGGCGTCTTATCAACTGGCCGCTCCTAGAGGTCGTGGTGCAAGGGGTCCTCGGGGATCTAATGTCCCCAAGAATTTGAACTTTCCGAGGCTGAAGAAGACCGCAACCTCAGGGGGCGAAGGTATGCGGATGTCGGTTGTGCACACGTTTTGTATGTGAAGGCTTTAAATTCATTGGTTTATTACCGCACACAACTATGTGTGTTGTTGATGGAGTCTGACTAGGTTTTGTTATTGTTTTCCGCATACTATGCCATTTTTTGCCAGAGGAAACCGAGGGCATCGAGACCACAGAGGCGACACAACAGCGCGACTATTCTGATGCCGAAGATTCCGAATCGGCGCAGTCCGCGAGCAAGGGCGAGAGCGATGAGGGGCAGGCTAAAAACAAGCCAGCCGAACATGTTCATTCTGGAGCGATGAATGCATCAAAAGGGGGCAAAGATAAACCTCTTGAAGTGGAGGGTGATGACCCGCTGGTCGCCTTGCGCGCATCACCAGAGGGGTCACGAAACCCTTCCGAGGAGGTGATCGTGTCGCGCGCCGTGTTTGATAGTCTTAAGCGGGCGCAAGATGACAACGCTAAGACCGTGGCTCGTCTGGAAGAAATGTTGATGAAAGCCTTGGCACAGTGTCATGGTGGGTCACGTCGCCAGAAAGCGGAGAAGCAGAGAGATCCCGGACTCGGGTGTGCCAACCCGAAACGTCGCCGTGTGGAGGCGCGCACTGACGCTTCTGAAGGCGACGAGGATGTGAGAATGAGAACGAGAATGGAATGACTATGAATGAAGTGAGTACATATAGGAAACCCTAATTGGGTTGTACCCCCTATGGGATACCCCACTATAGCCTACACACATAAGCAGGCTATAATGTTCTGACACACCCCCATAGGCAAAGTGGGGGAGAACAAGGGGTCACAAGACCAGTCAAGCAAAGCAAGGCAAAGCTCAGGGTGGATCACAAAGTCACCACACATTCCGAGCACAAGTTCAAAGGCCAAAAGGCCAGTTCACATGCAAAAACACATATATATAGATATACAAGAGGCTAAGCAAGCAAGAGCAAGAGTATATATAAGTGACAGTACAAGCAAGGTCAAGAAGTGAGCAAGTGAGGCAAGACAGGCACAAGACCCAACTGAGTGCAGAAGCGCTGATGATCACAAGGCGCAAGTGCCTTGGTGAAGACATCACCAGTGTTGGCCTCAGAGGCCACGTACGCAAGCCGCAACTGTCCACGCTGCTGTAGCTCACGAGCAAGAAAGTAGCGGAGAGCAATGTGCTTTGTCCTGTGCTCCAGTCGCTGCTCTCGGCACAAGGCCAGCATGGCCTTGTTGTCTACGTACAGGACTAGAGGAGAACGAGGCGGATCTCCAAGGTCGGTCAGCAGGTAGGTGAGCCAGCGAAGCTCCTGGGCAGCCATAGCCCCGGCGTAGATCTCAGCCTCACAACTGGAGCCGAGAACAGAAGACGAGCGGGTAGCCCGCCACGAAACAGAGCCGGAACCGAGGCTGAAGGTGTAACCCTGTGACGACCGCTGCGTAGCCTGGTCGTCAGCCCAAGAAGCGTCCGCGTGCCCAGTGAGGACCACTGGACTCCGCCCTCCAAGCACTAGCCCCATGCCCGACGTACTGCACAAGTAGCGCAACACCCTCTTCGCTGCAGCCATGTGCTCTGGTCGGTGTCTCCCAGGAGCAACATAGCGTGCGAGAATGCCAAGAGGGTATGCAAGGTCAGGTCGACTGCAGGTCATCAGGTACATGAGGTAGCCAACAAGCTCTGGATACGGGCCACTCGACTCTACGGACTCATCCGAAGGCAGAGCTGAGAGCGAGTGGCGAGTAGGCAGAGGAGTGGCCTGAGGCGAGGAGTACATGAAGCCGAAGCGCTGAAGGACCTGCTGCACCATGTGTGACTGAGTCAGGGTAATGGTGCGGCGTGCTCTGTCCCGGGTGATCTGCAAGCCAAGGTAGCTGCGCAGTTCACCCAGGTCAATGCACGTGTGTCTCTTCTGCAGCTCGGACTTCACGTAGGCGAGTCAAGCAGTGTCAGCAGTGGCAAAGACCAAGTCGTCGACGTACACGAGGATGTAGAACGGCGGCAGAGAGGTGTCGGTGCGCAGAAACAGCGACGGGTCTGCAGTAGAAGGAGCAAACCCAAGAGCCGCAAGCGTAGTCCTCAGTGTGTCGTGCCACTCACGGGGCGCCTGGCGGAGACCGTAGACTGGACGCCGGAGACTCCACTGGGTACCAGGAGGGAAAGACCCAATGAAGCCAGGTGGGCGGCGCAGCCAGATCTCCTCGTGCAGGCTGCCCTGCAGGAAAGCAGTGCTGAAGTCGAGAGAGTGCAGCTCGTAGTCACGATGAGCAGCAATGTGCAGCAGTACCCGAAGGGTGGTCATCTTCAGGGTGGGGGAGAAGGTCTGAAAGTTGTAAACCCCCTGCCGCTGACTGAAGCCACGAGCCACGTAACGCGCCTTGAAGACAGGCGGAGAACCCGGCGGCCGCTTCACCCTGAAGATCCACATGCCACTGACGATGTTCGCTCCAGGAGGGGGGACAGCGTCAACGTAGGTGCCTGTGGACTTCCAGGAAGCCATCTCTGCATCCATAGCTGCCTGCCACTGAGAGGAGTAGGGACCCTCTATCGCCTCCGCGTAAGAGCGCGGAGTCGGGATGTCAAGTGCATCCGGGTCTCCCTCAGGGGTAAGCAGTATGGACAAGAGATGCGGTGAAGCGGCTGCCAGGCACTGGAACTCCTCCTGCCTGTCCTCGAGGACGTCCGTGCTAAGGGCATACTCACCCCGGACGGACGGAGGACAGACAGACTCAGACTCAGCGACAAGACTAGCAGCGTAGTCTAGGCGACAGCGAGCAGCAAAGTCAACGAGCTAAGTAACGAGGGCAGACGCAGCAGAAGACTCGAAAGAAGGGTCAGTGACGACAGTAGCAAGGAAACGCGTGACAGTAGGTCTGGTAGCACGAAGAGAGTCCGACTCCGGGTCGGCAAGAGCAGGAAGAGAGGACTCAGGAGGAGAAGGTAAAGGGGCACGCAGAGGAGCAGTAGACGGAGGCAGTGACATCCGGTGCGTGCCAGGGACAGGAGGAGGACGCTGACGCGAACTGCGACCACTAGCGCGTGCAGGACGGACAGGCGACGCAGGACGAGACGCACGCTCACGACGCTCAGTAAGACCTCCAGTAGGACCAGCGTAGGGAGAAGGAGCAGGTAAGGGGGAAGCAGGCTGTAGCTGTGACTGGGACGGGACAGGCTGTGGACCCTCTAAGAGAGGAGGAGAGCTAGTAGAAGGTGGAAGACCAAGAACCTGCTGCAAGAGTGGAACGAAGTACGGTCGAGGCCGCGCGGCGACGCCAGACACAGCAGGGACAGCACCAGCACCCCCAGCAGGAGCACCCGCTCCAGTAGCACCTCCAGCAGCTCCAGAACCCCCAACAGCACCAGCAGCACCAGGAGCACCCGCTCCAGTAGCACCGCCAGCAGGACCGCCAGTGGTAGTCTCAGCGCCAACACCCTCAGCAGCACCAGCTCTAGTCGAACCCGCAGGCCCAACAGCTCCAGTACTCCCAGTACGAGCACCTCCGGGACCCGCGACAGCAGCACCCTCAGCAGTCGAAGAACCTCCAGCACCAGCAGTACGCCTCCAGCGCCAGGCAAACCACTCACGCAGCTCCTGTGGGGAGAGTGGCTCTCGGCGAGACGAAGCACCCGGCGAACCACCGGGCGAAGAAATTCCAGGCTCAGCACCCCCAGGCAAAGCACCTACAGGCTCAACACCCCCAGGCTTAGCACCCCCAAGCTCAGCACCCCTAGGCTCAGCACCCCCAGGCTCCGCACCCCCAGGCTCAGCACCCCCAGTCTCAGCACCCCTAGGCACAGAACCCCCAGTCGCAGCACCTCTAGGCTCAGCACCCATAGCAGCACCAGAGTCACGAGTGACCTCGACAGGCTCGACCGCGGCTACCTGGGACACACCTGAAGGGGTAGGACCCTGAGGGGGGAGGGGGTCTACCGGGGGGGGACCTGGTACCAAGAAGAGCGGGGGTGGGGGGAGGGACGGAGTGCGGTAGGGGAAGAGGCGGTAGTAGGGTA